GAGAGGGTGTGATGTGATCTTAGGGTAACTGTGATGGAGAGGGTGTGATGTGATCTTAGGCATCTGCAATGAAAAAAAAAGGGGGGGGGTGTGCATCCTGTAACGTATTTTCATAAGAGAACTACGGGGGAGGGGGGGGGGTCACGTTCAGGTTGTAGCAATAACAAATACGCACATCTCTGCATGGTAGAGGTAAAATACTTTTTTTTAAATATCCTTCTTCAGTTTTAACTCTACCAAATGTATATATGTTGTTAGTTGCTTTTTTAAAAGTTGTACCAATGTATGTTGCTTCAGATAGTTCTTTACGCGAAGATAGTTCAGAGTTAACGCTGTTACACGCTGTCTTGAGGAGTCTGTTCAATCGGTGCTGGATGAGACACGGTGAAATCAAACACCAGCAGTTGTAACTTCATTACAAGTTCAGTAGGCTTCACCATTGTTACACCGTAGGACAATAGGACAATTTGATTTTTTTTTAACGCAGAACCTGTGATGTTTTTTTAAAAAGTTAACAAATGTTAAATTCTAGAAAAAACAGTTGTCATATCTTCCACGAAAAGAGCTGTTGTTTAACTTTCGCCGCAAAAGACATTATTTTAAAAAAATATAAAAGTTGGCACTCTCATTTTGATTTCTTTTTAAAATATCCTTGATAACAGTGAATCAAAACATATGTGGGCATCCTTGAAGAGTGCGTCAATGACGTCATTTGAATCTATTCTGATAAAGAAGAAAGAAAAAAAAAGAGGGGGGGGGGGGGGCAATATTATTGGTAAAAATTAAAAATTTCGTCGAATTTTTTTTTGAACGCACTATTTTTTATAATAAAAAAAAATATTGTGTTCAAAAATTGATTTTTTAAAAATAAAGAAGAAAGAAAAAAAAAGAGGGGGGGGGGGGCAATATTATTGGTAAAAATTAAAAATTTCGTCGAATTTCTTTTTGAACGCACTATATTATATAATAAAACAAAATAATGTGTTCAAAAATTGATTTTTTAAAAATTTAACGTAAAAACTGAAGAAGAAAAAAAGAT